CCAAATTTTGTGAAGATATACCCAATATATATAGAGTTATAAGTATTAAATTTATGTCAATTTTAAACGAGTACAGAAGGCCACATGACTCAGTCAAATCGACAGACCCCATGTTGGAAGAGTTAAAGAGCATTTAGCATTGGATTAGGCAGTTAGTAACAAGAAACTGTTAATCTAGTTTCCATGGCATTTTTATAAAGGAAATTATTAACACTGTTTTAGAGAGGAAAACTACCACTGTATATTTTGAAGAATCTGGTGGGTTCTTTAAAATATAGGTCTGTTCCGAATAATAAGATTGCAATCCTAAATCTAATGTTGGTTACTGTTGAGTGTCACTTTCTTATTTCTTGTGGTTTGTTGGTGTGTTTTGACAAAAAGTCATTATATCTAATCAAAAACACCTTAGGTGTGAAGAAAAGGGTACATCCGAAAGATTTAAAAGGAATGAAATCAAAATTGGGTTTGCTCCAGACACTGCTTTAGCTATGAAGAAAAATCTTTGTCAGTGACTACACTGTAAAGGCTGACCTTTTGGACGCCTGTCTGTTGAGTCAAGGTGAGACACACAAACACACCCACCAGACAGTCTGATTACACTCTAGCCACACTACACTTCTTGGCTTCTTCTTATCCCTCTGAAACACTTCTGGTTTTTTTGCCTTCCTTCTGTTTCCTTCAGGGCAAAGAATATACCTTGTTCAAGATGAGATGTGGTCCCCCACAGGTGTGTCCCTATGAAGCCCCTGTCAAAGGTTGTTGTATTATCTTGGCTTTTCTGTCAGAAGCTTGCTGAAGGGGGCTCATCTAGGCTTAATTTTGCACTGGCCCCTTTACCATTTCACAAGCTGTTATGTGATATCATTTTGGAAGTTAAATTTGTGATATTTTTGTATTTCTGATATTCATCAACACACACCTGTCTTCCCGCTTCCAGAGCACTTTCTTCTTGCCTCAGCTAAGAATGAAGTTATTTCAAGTGCAAGTGCTTAGAAGGAGTTCACAAGAAGGTTCCTGTTCATGGAGGACTATCATCTGTCATGATGTCATCATGCACTAGAGCAATTTATGTTAAACATGTGATTTTTGGGTTGGAGTTAGCTTAAGGGTAGTGGCATGCAAGTCTCGTAGGCTGAGGTGTAAGGGATCAAGTTATTCTGTGTGAGGAGGTATCTATCAGAAATACATTCTCAGGTAAGGAAAATCTTATCACTTGAATAATCAGTTGGTCTAATCTCCTTTCCTCCATACAAGTAAAAATGAATGAGGGTGCACTACCTTCATAACTCTATGTACCACTGTATTTTTCTAACATAGTATTAATCTTGCTCTTTTTCACCTAGCTTTTTATTTTGTGAACCAATTTTTGAACTACCCTTCATTTTATGATAGACATCTTCTGGAGGTTGCCACTTGCAAAAAAATTTTTTTTTCATACGCACACAAAAACAAGTTTTTATAATATGCAGTAATTTCCCCCTTCTCCACTGATCTTGTGTAGTCAAATATATTAATTAGTGAATAATGAAAACACGTTTTACTATCACCAATAAGGGTAATCATGTTTTTATTTAACAATATTTTATTTAACAACCTGATCCCTTTTGTCATGCCCACCCTATGATGACATTATATTACATTGTAAGTAGGTTATGAAACTCTTATGACAGTCCTTTACAAAATATGAAATTGTTGGATGAAATTGTTTGAAATTTGACATGAATGTTCCTAAAACTATGCAATTGCAGAAAAATAAATTAATTTGGATTTTTTTACTATTTCTGTTAAAAAAATTCCTTATTTAATGTAATTTGCACTTGCACTCTGAATAGTTCACATGCAAGATGATTTTTGTATGAAGTATAATAATAAGATATTTCTTATCTTAGAGTTTCACATTTCATTTGTATAATCTTTAGAACCTCATAAATGAATATCAAAAGTTTTTTTAAGGTAATAA